TGCCTCCCTCACAGGAAGGACTTGTGTAGCAGGGGAGTCCCAGTGGTCCCTGTGCTGGTTAGGGGAAGATCAGGGTTGGAGACTTCAATAGGGGAGAGGAAGTTGCTATTTGCACAGGTGGGGGGGGGTGGAGGGCAGGGCAGCAGCAGTAGTAGCTCATACCTGTATTCCCAGCATTTGGAGGTTGAGACAAAATAATTACTATGAATTCAAGGCCAGCTTGGATTACGCGGTGAGTTCCAAGCCAGTTTAGGCTACAATGGTAGACCTTGTCTCAAAAAGCCAAAAACAACAAAAAGTATTACCAACTGAGCCAAATTTGGTGGCACATGCCTATAATTGCAGGCTTTGAAGGGAGAGGCAGGAGGATCAGAAATACAAGGCCATCCTCAGATACATAGTAAACTTTAGGCCAGCTTGGAAAATGAATGAAACTGTCTCCCCGGAAACAAAAGAAAAGCATGGTGTTAATTTTAACAGCCATCAATCATGTTCTTTGTTGTTTGCTTTTTGGGTTTTGGTTTTTTTGAGACAGGGTTGGCTGTCCTGAAACTTACTTTGTAGTTCATGCTGGCCTCGAACTCACAGAAATCCGTCTGCCTCTGCCTCCCTAGCCCTGGGATTAAAGGTGTGGGCCACCACTGCCCGGTGATCATGTTCTTGCAGCATCTAGAACTTGAAACCATGCCACCCGGGTAGAACCGAGACACAGACTGTCTATCTACTAGGGAGGGATGACTTCTTGGTTGGACTTCCCTAGGAACTACCTTGAGTGTTGGTCATGGTAATTTCAGCTGCTTCTATGTAGAATTTTTCTTTTTAAATTAATTTTAGCTATTTATTTTTGACTGTTTTGAGACAGTGTCTTATGTAGCTTGCCTCAAACTCAAAGTATGTCCAAAGACAACCTTGAACTACTGATCCTGCTTCTGCCTCCCAAATGCAAGGATGCTGGGCATGTGATATCCCACTCAGTGTCTGTCCTTTTATACCGAAGTCCTGACTGCTTTGAGAATCCCTCCAGGTCAGCAACTCCAACTACACAACAGGGTGGCAAACATCCAGTCAGGACCTTTAGCAGAGGCCAGGTGTGTACTGCCAAATAAAAGCCAAAAGCACCACTAACCAGGTCTCTTACTGAGGGTGTGCCCTCTCCTGTCCCTACAGGCTATGGCCTCGAGGGAGGAGCTGCATGCACAGTGTGCCCAGAGCTTTCAGGACAAAGATGAGCTTCGAAAGCAGGTTCGAGAGCTGAGTGAGAAGGCAGACGAGTTGCAGCTGCAGCTATTCCAGAGTGAGGGCCGGTTAGTGGCTGCTGAGGCCAGACTCAAGCAGCAGCAGCTGGACATGCTCACCCTGGTAGGCCTCCGCGTCTGCTCTATCTTGGGTAGTCTGGGATGTGAGGGATCTGGGGAGGACATGGGATCAGGGCAAGATTCCAAGAGGGACCATGCAGCCTAGGGGCATCCCCATCCCTAACCTGGCATGACTGGCGACCTGCTTGTGGCTTCCAAAACTGTCTGGGCCGTCCTGAGTTCCTTTTCCTCTTTGGAGCACCTCATGTCGGTGATAGACATACGTGTAACTCAAGGTCCAGTCATCATATAGACAGCGGTCTTGAACAAAGTGTAAACTTCAGGTGGCTTGGCAGAGTAGAATTAAGAAAGGCAGATGTTCTGGGCAGGGTCCTGAAGAGATGTACTGGCATGGCTGAGATGCATGTAGGGCCTCCCTAGAGGATGGGGTCCTCACCATACCCTGCACACCCCCTGCCCAGGTGCTTAGAACCCTGTATCCCACTGACCAATTCCCTTTTTTGTGGCCACAGAGCTCTGACCTGGAGGACACTTCGCCAAGAAACTCCCAGGAGGTGAGTGTGATCCAATGGGTGGGCACAGAGTGGACCTCTCCCTGGCCTCCAACCTCCCTCTGACCCCACACTCATCTCCCACATGGTCCTGTTCACCCAAACTGGGCTCTCTCCTATTTTGGCTTGGATACAGAGTAGAGTGCTGGCCAAACTCCGAGGCCTTTGTTTGTGAGCAAAGTGAGGCACTGTCCAATGCCCACACCCTGGCCTCTTAGGACAGGAACTTCATGCTAGGGTTCCCTTTGCCTGTTGACCCAGCTGGCACTGAGTCCCTGAGGGTCTCTGCAGAGGGGTGACAGTGATAGCCATACCAACTGAGGAGCTAAAGCCCAGTGGGCAGTGGGGTCGGCCACATCTAGTCCTGGAAGAGCAATGGTGGCTTGTAGCATGGCCTAACTGGGTGGCATGTCTCTGTCTGGAAGCTCTCACTGCCTCAGGACCTGGACGAGGATGCCCAGCTCTCAGACAAAGGTGAGGAGGTGGGGGTACCATGCACTTCCAGAATCTCCCCTAGCCCAGAGGCACCTGGGCTTTAGTCTCCTGGCCTCCCGGAACCCTAGCCCATCCTTAGCACACAGAGTTGTGTGGCTTACTCTGTCTCAGTAGTCGCCACTCCAAGGATGGAGGAACTGAGGCAGGGAGGCAGTGGTGAAGGGCTGAATTAGGCTAACATTCCCAGAGAATAAGGACTCTGATTTGATCATGGCCCTTAGGTCTCAGGGTTTGTGGCTCAGAGGGCAGTGAGTGTGGAGCCCCCATCCTGCGTAGGCCCATATTTCCCTACCAGCCTTCCCCCTGTAGAGGGAGATACTAGCTAGTATCCAGGTGAGCTCATTGAGGAAGTAAGGGATGGTGCTATGGACAGAGCAGCAAGCAAGGAGACAGAGGTGTGCTATCCACAGTAGCAGGCTACCAAACAGGACCCTCCTCTGGGCTGGAGGTGGGGAGGTGGGGGGGGGTCTGGTGCAGAGAGGAGGAGGCCTGAGAACTTTCGTGAGAAGGCAAACAGACTTCCTCACCCCAGGCTTTAACCAAAGGCAAAAGGGGAACAAGTGGTGTGGATGGAGAAGTGTGGAGGTGGCTCACCCACTGCAGCCCCCAAGACCCGAGCTGAGGCCACTGAGCTCCATGTGGGCACAAAAGGAGGCGGTCCCAGAACAGCCAGCTCCCTGAAAGGCGTGCCGGGAGTTAGGCACCACGACAAGGAGAGGGGTACAGGGTTAGGTCTGCCGGCTGCTCTCGTCCTCTGAGTCCTCCTTGGGTATAACTGTTTCTTGATGTTCCTAGCCCTCCCTGGACACCTGCCTGGAGGCTTGAGCCGTGGCCTGCCCAGGAGGACCTTGGGCATGCTGGGTCTGGCCACCTAGTCTGGTCTAACTAATAAAGTGTACTCGCTCTCACCTCCAGAGGTCCTGAGCTCTCCACTGAGGCTGCTCCCACCCTACCCATGGGAACCACTAGGCACATAAATGTTGCCACGCCAACAGGGACATGGCCTGGGACATTCATGAGCAAACTGTCCTGGGGACCAGGAGTCTTTCCTACCCATCCATCTTTGTATGTTTGGTGACAGTCAGCTTGGAAGGTGTGGGTGGGTGAGTGATGGTAGTAGCCCTGTTGAGTGCTCCTGGCAGCCAAAGGGCAGTCTGGGAAAAGCAGTCTCCACTGGACTCGTGTGAGGATCCCAGCCCATAAGGCTGGCCTGGGCAAGGGCTAGTGAGGCTGTTGGCAGAGGGAGGTGGGAGCCATGCCAAATAGGGCTCCCACACGCAGCTCTTCCTTTCAGGTGTTCTGGCAGACAGGGAGAGCCCAGAGCAGCCCTTCGTGGCTCAGAGCAAGGAGCAGCTTTCACAAACCCATGTAAGGCTGACTGGGGCTCCCAGAACCTTGGGTGACTCAATGGCTGATCTTAGGGAGGAAGGTGATGCCACCTGTACCTCTAGACAGCTGGGGATCACAAGGTACATGGATGGGGTGGGGGCAACACGAAAGGACACCTATACAGCAAAAGAAGTGTACCAGGCTCTCGCTGGGTCACCAACCAGCTCCCAAATGGCATGGAAACATTATTATTAGTTATGGATACTCGGCCTTTTCTTATGCTAGGTCTTAGAACTTAATTTAACCTGTTTCTCTTCATCTATGTCTTGCCTCATGGCTTTTTACCTTTCTTTCATTCTGCATTTTCTACTTTAACTGCTTCCTCCGTGTCTGTCTGTCTGTCTGGTCTTTCTCGCTCAATCTCTTCTCTCTCAAGCCTGGGTTCCTCCTCCTACTTATTCTTTCTGACCACCAACACCACCTATCCCTCTTCCGTCTAGCTTTTCATTAGATCGTTTAGGTGCCTTAGGTAGGCAAGATAAAAAAGCAACACATAATTAAACAAATGCAGCATAAACAAAAGCAACACACCTTTACATAACGTAATATCCTGCAACATAAAGAAATGTAACACATCTTTACAAAGTTAAAGTAATATTCCTCAACAAAGAAATCATCCAGTCAGCCTGTCTAAAGGGGTAGTTCCCCCATGCTCACTCATCTTGGAGTCCATCGGGCATTCTGCCAGCTGACTCGTCTTCACACTTGCAGGAGTCCCAGCAGGGCGGCCTTGGGAAGGTTCCCGGTGTCCAGCTGCCAGCCCCGTTCCTTCTGCAGGGCATGGGGCCCAGCAGCAGCGAACCCCCGGAGAAGGAGCGGCGGCGCCTCAAGGAGAGCTTCGAGAACTACCGCAGGTGTGGGGCGGCGGGCAGGACGGCCTGGGAGGGTGGGACACCTGCGTGTACCTGCTCACACTGCGGGTCCCACAGGAAGCGGGCACTCCGCAAGGCGCAGAACAGCTGGCGACCGGACGAGGGGGACCGCGAGAACACCACAGGCAGCGACAACACCGACACCGAGGGCTCCTAGCAGCCCGCGCCCAGGCTGAGCATCTGTGTAACTGGGAAGGGATTTTTTACTGTGCGCTACACATACGTTGTACAAGTATTGAAAAATGCAACTGAATAAAATGACCACCAAGCCGAGCCTGTTAGGTGGATGTGCACTCAGGGGGACACCAGGGGGAGACAGAGGGCAGAGAGCCGGCGACGACAGAAGCCGAAGAGGGCCGCTTCCGGCCACAGCGCCCGTTTCCAAGATGGCCAATGCAGCCTCAGTCTTACGGGGCGGTGCAAGAAGGGGCGGCCAAGGACTGCAGACAGGATGTTGCGGACAGCTCTGAGCCGCGTGCCCATACTACTCCGTAGTATACGGACCCGGAATCCTGGCCCGGGGCGGCTTTGGGATTCAGAGGCTCGCCTGAGGACCGCGGAGAGACAACGGGGCTGGTCCTGGGGCTGGCGTAGCTCGAGCTCCGCGCAGGGATCGGGGCCTGTGGCAGCGCTGGGGCGGGTGGAGGCGGACCGCTACCAGCTCGTCTACACCTGCAAGGTGGGCGCGGTCCGCAGAACCTGACGCTGGTTGATTTCTGGAAGGACTGATTGACTTCCGGAAGGAATGGGGTTCTGGTAGAAGGGGATGGAAGTAACCGGCCGGGGAAGGGGCGGAGTCTTCACGAGAGGGCTGAGAAGGGGTGGAGCGATCTTTGAGGGACAGGGCCTTCTGAGTGATGGGTAAGGTTGTCGTTCTGGGAAGAAAGTGTCTGGGATCTCACCTAGGTGGGACCATCTAGCAAAGAGCTGGGGCTGCCCCTCAGGGTGGAGTCAGGCCTCGGGAGGGGGCTTTCCTGTGTGTACCTGGCCTGACCACCTCTCTAACCCAGCTAGGTCTGTGGGACTCGGTCATCCAAGCACATCTCCAAGTTGGCCTATCACCAAGGTGTGGTCATTGTTACCTGCCCTGGCTGCCAGAACCACCACATCATCGCTGACAACCTAGGCTGGTTCTCTGACCTGAAGGGGAAGAGGTAAGTCCAGCTGGGACGGGTAGGAGTCAGTAGGATTGTGGCTCTATGACCTCGGTCCTGGGTCATGAGCCCGCTCAGGAGTCCTGCCTGTCTTCACTGGGACCCTCTTCCTGAACAGCCCCACTTCCATATGGATCTAGAAACTGTTGATTTTGAACTTGGGATAAATCATGAATAGCACCCAAATGTGGCCAACTATATCTGTAGGCATCTCAGCCTGGCCCTGAGACTTCCTGTCACTGCCTGACCTCTGATATGTCCATTGGCCTTTTCAGGTTCTAATGAAGGCCTTTGTCCTCTGCCAACTCAGAGCAGATGGACAGGTATGTGTCAGGCTATAGAGTGGGTGCCGGCCTGCAGTTGGTTGAGAGGGCATTGGGAAGGGCCAGGAGCCAGTGTGGAGGATGGGCCTATGGCTGTGCCTAATGGCTTCTTAGTGTCCTCCTGTGAGGAGGGATCATTGGCAGGAGTATGGGCAGAGCCACAGAGGAGAGCCTATGAGATGAGCATGTAGGCCTTGGGTCTCTGGAGTTCACCTGTTGGACCTGTGCTGCAGAGAAATCTCAGCTCTGCTACCTAGGGACAGAACAGAGCTGCAGGCATGGCTACCTGGTGAGAGGAAGGGCTGAGGCCCCTCCCCTTGTGGTACACTGTGCAGCGGAGATGACACCCTGTCTGCCAGCTTCTGAGGTGGCGCTTACTAGCACACACATTTGGTGAGGGTACATTAGGTACCTGTGAGGTACTGGTGTCACTTGGGGGCTGGGATAAGTGTTCCAGATCCAAGCTGGCCCTTGAGGGAGCCCAGTACAGGGCTGATGCTGCCTTCCTGTCTTACAGGAACATTGAAGAGATCCTAGCAGCCAGAGGAGAGGAGGTTCGCCGAGTGCTTGGCGAGGGTGCCCTGGAACTGCTTCTAGAGGCTGCTGAGCCACCTGCCACCTCAGAAGGGGGTGAGGATCCTACCCTTACCGGCAAAATTGAACAGAGCTGACTTGGACACTCTGCGGCTGTGGACTCTAGCCCCCCAAAAGTTTCACCCACCTGGAACCTGTCAGGCCCGGCCTGTTCCTTGTCAGTAAACAGCCGTCACCTCTAGGTGCTGGTCCCAGGCTCCTGTTTTTCTTTTCTGGAGTCAGAACAACTCTGTGGCTCTAGGACTGAGCCTCATGAGCACTCCACCTCTTCAGGGGAGTCGCCTCCTCCCTGTCTGTAGGAGTCCTCCTCCCAGTGTTCCTATTGTGTGAACGAGTGTCAAGCCCAGGCCTGAGGCATGGCTTTGCAGCAGAACAGGCTTCTCAGTATGGCCATAGGCCCATAGGGTACTGGTCAGAGGCTGGAGAAGCGGGAGCCGGCCAAGGAGAGGCCCCCATGAGCTGCCTGCGCCTCTAATGCATCTTCCTGTGTTGGGGCTTAAGAGGAGATGTGTGGCAGTGATGAGGGCCACAGCGTGCTTGCCTTGGTGTGTGGTTCGTCTCCCAGCTTTGTTTGACACACCTTCAGGATGTTCTTGTGTTTAGGAAACAAACCGATGCAAGACCAGGACAGGCTTTTTGCCGGAGTTTCTGGTACCCCATGACCTTTAACATTAATCACCAGCCCATCTGGCAGGGAAAGACCTGGGACAGGAGGGTGGAGAAGACAGCTGAGTGGAGTATGACAGTGACACAATGCAGCCCTGTCTCCCGGGACCCAGCTAGTGATTAGCAGTTCACTCTAGGCTGTGGGAGGCCGGGTGCACTTGCAGTCTGTGTCTCCACTCGATTACCCCCTGTCCTTCCTTCAGCAAACACCCTGCTATTATCCCCACCCAGAGCCTCCTGTGCCATTTGTGCACACTGTCATAGTCCTAGAGACAGAACCAGCCCCCGACTCCAGCCCGCTCCCTGTGGAGGACACAAGAGGTCAGAGGGGGACTGGCTGTGTTGCTCGTGGGTTTTTAAGTGCAGGAGGCCACTGTAGCCTGGCTAGGCTGCCTTGTTGCCTTCGAGTGTCTGGACCAGAGTTTGAGGAAGCCTAGAACTGGCTATATCTGATGGCTAGTGCCAAGCTGGATCTAAGGGACCACTGGATAGGAAGCCAAAGCCCATGGTTTGAACTTAATCGCTGTGTGTGCCTTCTGCATGCTGCTGCTCTCCATCTGGGGTCTTGCTGCTCCAGAGCCCTCCTTCAAAGACATCAAGGTTTTACTTTTAAGCCTTGCCTTCCACACAGACCACTGTACAGTCTATACCCCCACCCTGTTCTGCAGACTCACCCTAGGCCACTGTTCCCAGATGGCAGCTTGAAGGTGTTCTGACTGGCTAGTTAAGCTGTCTATTCCTCTCTCTCAGTGGAGACTTTAGTAAAGTATCACCCCAACATCCTAGTACTTCTTGGCCAGCCCAGCGTGACTCCTGTGGAGTGACGTGGCCCCTCACCATATTCCCTTCCAATGGCAGTTCCTTCCAAAGTTGGCCTCCCAGTAACTAAGTAATCCAGCCTGCCTGGAAGAGTTTGGCTGCCTCTAGAGCCACCACAGTGCTCCAGACTCCCAGGGGCTTCTCTAGGTTATTTTATTGGTCTTAGCCTTTAGTAGGCTAAGGGCCCAATCAGGACTTGTCCAGGGGATGCTGCTCACCTCATGAACACTGAGGACAAGCCAGGCCCTCCAAGTTCTTCTGTTGCTTGGAGTGGCATAATCCAGTCCCAGTAATAGGAACTGCTAGGAAAAGGAAGTCCTGTGACTGGAGCTAATCCCATCAGGGTAAGATTGCTCAGGATGGGTAGTCCTCATAGTGTCCGCCAATGCAGGGTGGCATCCCTGGCTTCTGCTGCCTATCTCTGGAAAGCCAGGACAATGAAGAACAGCAGAGAACGCAGCAGGTTGAGGCCCTGGCCCCAGCCCCTCATTGTTACACACAACAAGGACACATTCTTCATGATCTCAAATGGCTTGTACGCTAGAGGATGCTGCACTGGGCAAGCCAATCCCATGTTCTGAGAAGGCTGACAGACACAAATTCCAACGGAAGCCACACTCACTTGGCAGACTTTTATTTTTGGGTAGAACAAAAACGTACCTCTCAGGTTGGAAAGAACCCACGGATAACATGGCAAACACGTGTGAGCAATAAATACGCATGTACATTCAAGTATGCAGGCGGCCACTATGTCCCGCCTGAGACCCTGTGCTCTGGTATTTGCTCCTGCCCTTGCCTCTCAGAAGTTGGGTCCCCAGGGTTGGCCCTGCAGTTTCCCTTACCCTGGCCCCCTCCTAGGCTTCAGGGTTAGAGGTCCTGGGTTGGAAGGTTGTACAGAGCCCTTCAGTAGGGCTATCTGCAGGATCTGCAGGCAAGAGCTGGGACCACAGTCCCCAAAGGTCTGTCTCATGGGTGACGCAGCGGTCCAGCCTAAATCCCCACCCCAACTACAATGCCCTGTGTCCAACTCAGATATTGCAGCTGGAGCCCTTGATGAGAAAGCCAAGATACTATTTCCCTAGTAAAATGGGGTGGATGCTCACTGAGGAGACTGGAGGTTCTAGCTGAGCAGATTCCTCATGAATATCCACTGCCAGCCAGCAGGACAAGCCCTCCTTGGAGAAGACCCTGTGTTTTTGGCTTGGAGGCTTGCCTTGTCCCCCTGCTTCAAAGGCCAAATTCGAGGCTGGGAACTACTTGGTCAGGGTGTCTGGACTTTGCAGTTGCCAATCTCCCACAGCAGAGTTGGGCACTGACAAGCTAGGATAGGGCCTGCCCTGGGGAGGTGAGGCAGAGTACAGAGTGTACCTCCTGCATAGCCATCCCAGGACCAGCTGGGGGGGCAGAACATGCCATGCCACTGTAGCCCCAGAAGAGTCTTTAAGGCTCCCCTGGGGAGATTGGGGGAGTTGGCAGAATTTCACATTTGGTAGGGCTGGGCTCGAGGGAGTAGGGTCTGGACAGCACCGGGGCTTGGGGCCAACATGCTGAAGGCCTAGCCTGGAGCAGGGAAGGGCAGGGCGGGCAGGAAGCTATGGGCCATATGGGGACAGAAGCATGCCCTCCCCCATACAGCAGCTCCAGCCTGAGCCCACCACCCTGGGATAGGGGTTCCTTGAAGGCTGGGTGCCCACTATCTGGCTCAGTGGGAAGAGGTTAGGGGCTGAGCTGGCTCTCCATCATGGCCTTGGGAAGATTTGGCTTATCAAGGGGCCATGGCCACTGTGGACATCTGAATCCCCAGAGTCCAGGGCAGGGCATGCCTGGCAGGACGGGTGAGGCCTTAGCTGGCACCTGGTGGACACTGCTGCCGAGGCTCATGCAGCCCACTGGCCTCCTGCTCTGGACTCCCAGCAAGGTCCACACGCTGCTCATCCATCCGCTTAGCCTGCACTCTCTGGATAAGGCTGAAGAAATCCTCATCAGGCATGGTGGGGCCTCGGGGCAGCACATCGGGGGGTGGACAGCGCTGGTCATCAATCCTGGAGGACTGGGCAGACACACAGTGTAGGTTGATGATCTTGCATTTCTCAGGCCTTTGTAGGTCCTATCCTGGCACTGGGTGGGCAAGGGGCTTCTTGAAAAATATGAGGGCAGCAAACACTGACTTGGGAGGAGTGGAATACTCTAAGTGGGACCTGTTTCAGCCACCTCGTCTTCCTGGGTAGGGGTAGTGTTAGCAGCCTTGCCCTGACATTGTCTCTTGAAAACATCTCCCAGAATTGTGGCTGGCTAATCAAACAGGAAGGGCTAGATGATATATTCTGGATAGAACAAGCCAGCAGCTACTGGGCAGCTCTAAGGCCAACTCCTGGGACCTGTTGATCCAGGGACTGTACCCTAACACTGTCCTAGAACCTAGCGCAACACTGGACTGCCCTTGGAGGGCCTGGGGGCTACAGCTCAAAGCCTGTTGCTTGGAAATCACCACCACCACCCCAACCCGACAAGGGTCTCCTTTGGATCAATCAGCTGACACCACGGGCTCTGCCTGTCCTGATGTGGAGGCTGGGGGGCCTGAAAGGTGTTGGTTTTTCTTCAGGGCCTGGAGCAGAAGGGACCGGAGCCGGTGCAGGTGATGGCTCAAGTATTGGAGTGGGCAGGGCTTCTCAGGAGGAGCAGACTTAGAGGAGGCTGTCTGGATGCTGCTGTGGTTCTGTCTCCTCTGTGAGAATGAACATTAATCTGGAAACTTAGCCTGATGCAGAGGTGGAGTGCTGGCCCCCATCATTCCTGCATCTGACCAAGCTCCACCACATACGTGCTGCTCTAGTCAGAGGGCAGCTGGCCTGCAGAGTGCACCTACCACCCATCCTCTGTGCTGCTAGGCCTTGGCTAGGCGGCTCAGGTCAGCAACACCCCACCCTCACCCCATCCCATATAGTGAGGCCCATCCATGGATAGCCCTACCCTGGTTCTGTCTTCACAGGCCTACCTCTCCATCTTACCTGTCAGCCCCATGAAGTGTCCTTTTTCAGAGCCATTCCTGCCCCCATCCCTCCAGTCAGCTGCTAATACCCCAGCTCTCCTTCCCTCCCAATTCCAGAGTTCCACTTGACCCTCAGCTCCCTCTGCCCAGATGTAGAAGCTGTAGCAGACATTCCTGGATTTGGGGACCTGGCAACCCAAGCTGAACTTGGGCACCAAAGTGTGTCCTGAGGCTGCTGCCTCGGAAGGTGCTTGGTCCCTGAGCATCTGTGCATGGTCCCTGACTCTGCCTGTGTCATCCTTATCCGCCAGCTTGTTGCTATGTATCCCTCAGGCATCCCTCAGACAAGACCAGAGAGATCAGACCTTGCTGTGTGTCTGCTGGGTGTCTATACTGCAACTGACTGAGGACCACCAGAAAGCTGGCCTAGAAGAGGTCCCACCCATTGTCTCTGAGTGCAGGCCCACCTGGTACTTGATAAGCATGTTGAAAAACTCATCCCCTGGCTCCTGAGGGTCCCCGTCACCTCGGAGGTGCCCCACATTGTTGAGAGTGATACGTAGCCCAGGCAGGCTGCCCACGCTAGCTCTCTGGTCGTCCAGCCGGCGGCTCTGGGAGCTGGCAATGAGGTCAAAGAACTCCTCAGTCTGTGGTGAAGCTGTCACGGAGGGCTGAGCTGCAAGGGCAGACAGAAGGTTAGGCCTGGA